TGACCTTGAAGGGTCTCTGGGACACGCCTGTGGGACTTGTACTGCTTGGAGCTGAACTGCTTCACACGGAATCGTGCGTCCTTCGCTCCAAGCCCCATGCGATAAGCATTCGTCCACTGACTGCTGATGTCTGCATTGCCAGACGGCGGGACATCACGGTGAGGAAGGTCCCCGCGGCCGGCAATCCCCCTAAGGGTAAGTTACGAACATCCGGACCCCTCGAAATCGGCCTCGGCTACCCAACGTTTTCGACCTCCAATACCCAACATCGGACAAGTGTCATCACGTTTGGTGAGGAGCACCACAAATGGAGTAAACTGAATATATATAATATTTAAATCCTATTATTGATGCGGTGCCGGGTCAATTTGGCCACTGTGCAAAAGTAGCGGCGCTTAGGCGTCCCGCACCATAGGAGACGGAGGGGTTGCGACTCGGATCTCAGGCACAGATTAATCTGGGATCAACTTCCCCGCGGGGCGAGCCGCAGCGTCCGGGTGCGTCCGGGGACACGCTGTGCAGGTGGTGTGATTGGCAGGCTCGGACAAGGCTCGGAGGCAGATGGATGTGCCAGGCAGCGGTGCGCAGGGAGATCACCGCCGTCTGGCGATGCATGGCAATAGGAATACTGTTGTGTTTCGACCATAGGTTCAGTCACAGGTCGCACCCCCCCTCGAACTAGGGTTTCAGTTCACATGTCCCAGGTCACAGAGGGATCCGAACTGAGGCTTCCCGAAAGCAGTCACAGGTATACGAATGCATTTTCGGGCCTGCGGCGCCGTGCTGGCAAAAGCAGTCCCCGGCCACTGGTGAACTATCCAAGTTCTGTGGTCACAGGTCACCAGGCCCTGTGAACTGGGGATTTTGCTAGTTCGTTGGTCACAGGTCACACCCCGCGAACCTAGGGTCGAAACGTTACAGTATGTGTGCATGCGTCACTGAAGAAGGCACCATTACTATACTTGTGTGCGTGGGTTGGCCGGCCGTCGCACAGAATGACGTCACCGGCCAGGCCCTTCCGCGCGGGCTAGCGCCCGCCTCCCGCTTCGCTGTCAACGCCGCTGTCAGTGGCCTGTCCTGTCCGCTTTACTGTCTCGTATGCAAGTTCGACTCCTTCCCAGTGATATTTTTTTAAATCTTTTTTCGCGTCCTCACACCTGTCTCCCGCCTAAGTAAGTCCATCGAGCCTCGGCACTCATAATTGCCTATTTGAGGCAATGTTGTGTTCGGCACTTAGACAAAGCCCATGGGCCGACCTTGCGAGTTCAATTGAGTACCCTTTCAATGGTGGATTTGTAAGTACATTCATTACTTATGCACAGATTGCTCCACAACCTTTTATAACATATGGCTAGAATAGGTGATAGTTCGTGCCCTTAGTCACACTCTGTCACACACTGCTCAAACCTCTGTCACTATTCGTTTCGAGCGACAGCGGCGTCGGCCCTCTTCGCTGTCATATTGCTGCCATAACCTGTCAATCACTTTGTTCCCTGTCTGCTGTCAAACTCTATTTCGACGTCATTTTGTGCGACGGCCGGCCATCCGTGCCAGTGTCAAGTGGTGATAAAGTTTGACACTCGCAAATGCGTACGGCAACAGCAGCACCAGCAAGTTCTTGCGACAGTGGTGTAACGAACCTGGGCCTCTCTGACGCTCGGTCGGCCCCCTCTCCGAGTCGCAGGCTCCGACACCGCCGGCAAACCAACTTCTGTGGACTCCGAGTACCCTGAGATTCAGAACTGGACGCCCGGTGTCGGATGTGATCGCACGATCCTCGTTTTATAAATACTTACTTATCTTTGCAGTGGCAGTGCATGGTCGCGAATGGCACCGCGGCCGCAAAATTCAAATCCGCTCATCTTCTTCCGTCGGCGTCAGCAAGGCTTATCTATGTACATACGACGGTTGGTGAACAGAACTTCGCAGTCCCACGGCGGCTGTCGGTCGGTGGCTAAATGGATCCCTCCTCCTCCTCGCGGCGAGTAAGGTCCTGGAATTGCTCGATTCGGTAGGACGCGCGCCCACAAAGCGCTAAGTTACGCCCGGACAGTCGACTCCCTTATTCCATTATGCATTCCTGCCCCAGATGTTGGGGGCGTGCGGTGGTAGGGCGCGAGTCCCTTCCATCGAATGCGTACGAGACTACCTTTATCGGGCCTTCTATCACAAAGATTGTACGTGCATTGCACTGGCATTCATTGTTGGAGCAAACGATCCGTACGTCGTACTCGCCGGCTTTCCGGCCTCCTCGTATACCCGCTATCTTTCTTTTACCTACCTTTGCTTACGCGCTGTCCGATGCGCCCGTCCGTTCTCTTATCCCGCCGCGTCCGCCGTGCGCACCCGTACATTCATTACCATACGAGGACATCGATAGTCCATCTCGTTCCTGTTCCTGCCTGACTCGCTCGCCCACTTATACCCTCGCTCGTACGCCCATCGCCCTCAGTCTTGCTATCCCGAGCACGAACTGAGGGTGAGTTAGTTAGTTTGTCTCGTCCTGCACACAGTCACTTACACTACCTCTCGTAGCCGTCGTCTTGACTGTGTACAGGTATGCTTTAATACAACTCAGTCTTGCTATCCCGAGCACGAACTGAGGCCGTCGTCTTGACTGTGTACAGACTGTGTACAGCCCGACGACTCGTGCTCGCCACTGTTGTTGCGTTAGGTTATGAGCCCCGCGTTCTAGCCGTAACAAGACTCACCTTTGCTCGCCTCACTTGCCCATTCCTTCCCTACCCGTCCTAGCCCACTGCCGCCGCTATGACGAGTACGTCACTCGCCGACTACAGCTCAGCTTTCGATAAGCTTGATGCTACGGGGAAGAATTGGTTTACCTTCCGTCAACGCTTCCAAATCGCCGTGAAGCAAAAGGACGCATGGGACCACTTCGATGGGACGTCGCCACGCCCGACCCCTGCCGATGCCGCACACGTCACACCAGCCGAACAGACGACCTTCACAGCCTGGGCGAAGAAGGAGTCGTTAGCGATGTACCTCCTCACTCAGAAACTCCCCGACATTACCTTCACGAAGCACGCCCGGAAGGAGACGGCGGCTGCCATCTGGGCCGCCATCGTCCAGGAGTTCACCTCGAAGTCGATGCTCATACGTGCGAACCTTCGCACCCAGTTCTTGACTATGCGTGCGACATCTGGCGCGAACCTCCATACCGAGCTTGATCGCCTGCGCGTCAAGTACGAGGAGCTTCTGACAAACGATATTAAGGTTAGCGATGCCGAATACGCTGCCTTGGTCATCAACTTCCTTCCCGAGGAGTTGTCGACCTTCGTGTCTCAAATCTCTGCCACCGCGAAGTTCGCCCGTCGCTTCCAGACCACGCCGATCGCTCCGCTACTCGCCGACGCACCGACGGAAGAAGCCCCTGCCCTCGACGCAGACTCTCTGATGGAGATCGCACTGGAAGAGTGGGACCGTCGTTTTAGTGGAAACCTGAAGGCCAAGGCCAAGCAGAAAGACGCCGGCGTCGCTGCCAGCGTCATGTCGACGGAGAAGCCAAAGGGTCGCGGTCGTGGACCTCAGAAGCCCGTGGGTGTTTGCTGGAACTGCGGAGGGAAGGGCCATCGCCAGGATCAGTGCCCGAGTCCGAAGGAGAATGGCGCGAAGAGTGGTGACTCATCTGGTACGCCTAAGCCTGCTGCCTCGAAGTCCAAACCCGCGAAGGGCAAGGACGGCGCTGCCAACGCGGCTGCGGCTGCGGCTGCGGCTGTCGCATCGCTCGACGAGGTTGCTGGCACGTGGTCCGCCTACGTTCCCTCGCTCGCTTCCTCTGACGAAGGCACACTGCCCGAGTTGTTCGACGACAATGCTCGCTCCGACATCACCGGACTTACCGAAGTGTCGGACACGGACTCGATGCCATCCCTGCAGACAGTGTCAGCTTCGAGCGACTCCGGGTCTGTACGCAACGACCTACCTGCGGATAACGACGAGTTGGACATGCCTGCCCCCGACTCTGTGCCTGTTGCCGCTCGAGCTGCTGTTGTTGCACGCTGGGTCGAAGACGTCTGGGTCGCGACTGATGCCGGACCCGAGCCTGTAACCATCGCCACCTGGATGCGAGCTGTCGAGGAGGAGCTTCGTCTGTTGGAGGATCCGGTTGATGAACCCGAGGATCCCGACAATGTGTATATTACTGCTGCTCCTGCTAGCGCATTCGTCGCTACCGAATCTACCATCGTTGACCTCTATGATTCTGGGGCGAGTCACCATATGTCGCCATATCGAGAAGACTTCCTTACCTTCCACGAGACGAAGCCGCAGACGTTGAACGCTGCCAACCAGCAGCAGTTCCAGGCTACTGGAGTCGGTGACATGGTTGTCTTTGTGCCGAACGACCCATCGCCTCGTTCGCCGATCCGCCTGACACGGGTGTTGTACACGCCCGCTCTCGGTTTTAATCTTGTATCGATTGGCCGTATCGACGACGCCGGATACACCACCACGTTCGCCAGTGGGAAGTGCATCATCGCCGACAAGGACGGACGTGCTGTGGGCACCATCCCGAAGTCCCGCGGTCTCTACATGGTAACGCGCACACGCGTGGACGGTTCAGCCAATGCCGCTGCCTCAGTTGAGAAACTCACTGTCATGGACCTACATCGTCGCCTAGGCCATATCGCGCCACGCGCCATCCGTGAGCTTGTGTCGAGTGGTCATATCCTGGAGCCCATTCAGCGCATTTGCCCATGAGCATTAGTGAGCCGAGGCATCCATTAAGCCCATGCCATCGAGCAGCCGACGCCGGCCGATGCGTCCTCTTCCGCCTATGGGGTTTGGGCAGCCGGCGGTCTTCTGCGTCCATAGTCATTGGGACGGCCGACGGGTCAGTGTAGCATAGTAATGTATACAGTACGAGCTGTTATTACTGAGCCATCCGATCCCCATTGGGTACCCGACATCGGCTGGTATAAGACCGCAACGGCTTTTACACCTGCCCTATAAGCATAGTGCAACCGACCTCGGATGCATCTATGGCCATCGGTTGGCCGGCGTCGGATGGGTGCACCTTGCGGCCTTTCCTGTTAAGACGTTCGAAGACCGGCGACCCGACGTCGGGTGCCCCTAACACCATAGGAATGGCCGATGTCGGTGGGCCCCATACTCATCGGGCAGTCGAGGTCGGCCGGCCTCCCGCTCCGCCTCTTCAACCTCAGGGCGAATTCATTCGGTACCCAACATCGGATATCTCCATGAGCATCGGGTGGCCGCGGTCGGGCTGCACGATATGCATCGGACACGCCGATGTCGGGCAGCCACACCATCCGCCTTTCCAATGTCGGCTGTCCCCTCCTGCGTCGGATGGGTCGGCTGGCAGGGGGTCCCTCGGTTGGGTAATGTCGGCGGTCTGCATGACCATAGGCCAGCCGAGACCGCAGGCGTAAGCCTGCGGCCTGGCTGCTGGGCACGGTGCGGCCTCCCATTGAGGACGCGCGATCTGATCGGCCTTTTCGGAAATGGCCGCGCGGATCCGGATTTGCCTGGAGAAATCGCAACCGCCTCCGAAGCTCGCGGAGACTGCGATGAGTGAGGCATAAAACGAACGAATATGTCATTGATAACAGCCCTGGGCTCACGCAGGGGCTCTCCGCTGCTCCCGCGAGCCTCCGTCCGTACCTGCTGACTCCGAAGCGCCCGCCCGACGCGTACTCCCTCCCGTCTGCCTTTCGATTTAGCGTTCTCATTGGCCAGCTCCTTGCGCAACACGCCGTCCGTTAGTCGTTGGTGAGTCACTTCCCATCAGATTAGATTGCCGCACCGGCAGAGTGGTCGCTTAACGCGCCTTACATATACTCGCCCGTCCTCCGCACCTCCATCTCTTCCCCCACCCTTGAAGCCATCATGTCTTCCCCGCCCTCACGTTTCAATCGCTCCGACTCCCCAGCTGGCTTGAGTGACCCCGGTCGCGGCACTGCGCGCGGTCCAGCGGCTTTCCTCGCGGCCCCGACGGCCTTTGCTGCGCTTCCCCCGCCTTCAGATCCCGTCGCGGGGGATGGTTTTGCGGCCACCGCCTTTGGTGCGCCCTTCCGTTCCACGCCCTGCCACTAACTACTGACCTACCTTGCGTGACGCGTATCAGGCGGCAACGCTGGTTCAGCAATTGCTGCGGAGCCTGGTTTGCCGGCGCGCGACGCGCCTGAGCAAGGTGAGCGTCCGGGCCCTGCTTCCCAACTCCCATCTCACCCATGTCCAAGGTCCTGCGACTGGGCCTGTTGCAGCGAGCCCGATGGGCCTCGCAGGCGGCGCTCCTCGCGAGATCTGGGATGCGTCGCCTCCTCCGGTTCCCCCGCCCCTGTACGGGGCACAAGACTTCCACCAGCAGTGGACCTGGCCGGCATACCTGCGTCCGGACTACAACCGACCCTGGACCCGTGCCACGGTGTCGTTACGTGACCTCCTCCGCACCATGATAGAGCTGGTCCGCGACATGCAGCCGCACTACCACGGCGACTCGCGCGGGGTGCCCGACCCGACGAACTCAATGTGAGTGCCCGGTCTCATGGCTACACCCGCGTACTCATTTTGCGCAGACGAAGGCATGCAACAGATGCAATCCGCGTGGGCCCCATGGTCCACGTGTACAAAATTCTCTGGCGGGAGAGGGGCCCTCCGCTCGTGTGGTCGATGGTCGTCGTGGCGGCGCACCCGGAGCAGGAGGTGGTGCTTTATCGAATCGTGCACCACCTATGGTCAACAAGCGGCATGACGCACGCACCGGGAGCGTACGCGCCACCAGCGTGAATATGCGACATTCTGTACGTATTGTATTCAATATCGAATGTACATAGTGTGGCAAATGCGTCAAAAACGCGCCTGTTCCGGACTCCAAGGCCACCGACTCAGAGGCCGGCATAGTGCGTACGACGTTGGAAATGCGCGCAAACGAAATGCTGCCCAACTTACCGGCTGTCAACTAAAAGGCATAAGATTCCGCCTTATGCCGTTCTATCTCGGCGGCGTGCCGAATGCAGTCTCCGCCGAGGTGCAGGCAGAGGCCTCGTGCGGCTTCCGCGCCAGCCCGGTCTTCGAAAATCAGCGCGGAAGGCCGTGCAGGCGCCGGGAGGCCGCGGGCGCTAGCAATCGAAGACCGTGATCCTCGAGCGCTCGCCGAGATGATCAGATCACAGGCCGTCTGAACGGCATGTGACTGGTTCTGATGGTGGCTGCGCGGCCTGTGGCTGCGCGGTTTGCCCATCACTTAAGCCTCCAGTCCATCAACCGGACTTCAACGTCTCTCCCCCACCCCGCACTCATGCCCGCTTCGTCGCGCCCATCCCCTCGCCGTCTTCCCGCCGTTCCTGTCGGCCCTCGCGCCCCCGCCTCCTTCAGGCCGTCCGCCTCGGCCGTTCCCGCCACCTCCGCGACGCCCTCGCCCTCTGACGCGCCCCGCGCAATCCGTCCTGGCCCACGCGCCACGGCCTTCCATGCGACACCCCCGCGCCCGTCCCTCCCGCAGCTGCGTGCACGGTCGACTCAAACCCGGCGGGGGCGGGTGTGCGTGGCCCTCGCCCCAAGCCCTGGCAGTCCAGCGGCGCGACGACCCCTCCGGCCGAGGCCTCCGCGGCCAGCACGGTCTTCTGTCCGGCCTTCACGGTCAGTCCGGCCTCTCTCGCACCTCCGGC